GGCTGCAGATTTTAGCAGGGCCAAAATGGGCTTTGGAATTGAGCGGGGTTCATGATTGCTCCTCTTGCCAAAGGGTCTGGCTTGGTGGTGGTCTGGCTCATTTCCCTTGGGCTGCTGAATACGAGGTTTTGACATGCGGGAGGCGAGCCAGACCATCACCCTCGGCGCCAATCTTGCTCCTCCCCCTCTTCCTCGTCTTCAAATTCGTGTGCGCCCATGTGTTCGTTGAAGCTCGGCTCGGGTCCGCCTTTGGGATCATGAGGCTGATTATCTCTACCCTGTTTGGCTGCGCGCTGCTGCATGTTGCTGTAAATGGAGAGTGTGTGGGAGGATCTGCAGGAAGACCAGCCAGCCAGCCTCGATTGACTTCAGTTCGGCTATCAAAGCAAAGAAGAGCAGCCAGCAGTGAGGCAAAAACATTGTGCTTCCGTGTACGCCTGTGGTTTGTTCCTTTTTCTTTTCCCACGTCCTTCCGACGACTGAATGGGGAATAGCAGGCTTTGCCCAACAGGACTCTTGTGCAGGGGATCTAGACCGTCAGTGACTGTGTATGTTGGCGATAGTGTATTCGATGGCAGCAAAGGACACTACCTGTACAGTGTATTAGCCAATCAAGTCAAGCATTGACGCAAGGGAAATCAAACAGCGACAAGGACGAAAAGGGTTAAGTGATGTGTGTGACCTCGAGGATGATGGTGTCCAGAAGCACCGATTGAGAGATGGGAAACTTGCAGGTTTCCCAGTCTGGCAATTCTTGGCGGGGCAGAAGGTTTGAATCATCAAGGCAGTTAGGCTTGTTTGATATGATAAGCAGGAAGGTCCCAGATTTTCTCCAGAACCTTGTCTGCTTTGTTGTTTGCTAGGGTATCACAATCAAATCAAGGCCACAGTAGTAATAATAGCATGGAGGGGGTTTGAAGATTTTCGGATTGGGGTGGATTCTTGCACCACCTCATGCCAAAGCTGCGAGGGAGGGGGAAAGCAACACGAAAACTAATATTTTCCTTTGCCTCGCGTGCATGACGCATCTCTGAAAAGGCGACAAGAGGGACTTAGTAAACTTCCTGGGCTGTCCGGGGGCAGGGAGCGGTCTGAAATTGAGATATACATGACCACGAAGCAATGAGAAGGCAGAGATTGTCGAAAAAGAGTGGGGCATGCAGCATGGTTGGTGGGAAAGGGCCATGACAGACCGCGAGTTCTTAGCCAGTGTCAACCGACTGTACTTGTAGATGGGTTTTGGGCTGGCGGAGAAGGGGAAGCTGCATGGCTAGAACAACCGGGATAACCAGACAGATCACGCAAAGTTAGTCGAACCTCGTGGGCGGATTGGACAGCGCTAGAACTGCAGGCTGAATGCTTCCGGGGAAGTTACAGAACAGCATGGGGAGGACCAAGAGGGTGTGGGAGGGAAAAGCACGAGCGTGAAACGGTAAAGGTTTAATTATTTCGTCTGTGCTGCTGGGAAAGGAAATTCGGTGCGCCCATAACCAATTCTTTTGGGTGTGTGGCATGTGTAGACAACGGATAGCATGGCACATGAGAAAACTCCTGTACTTGACCCCCAAGATGATGAGATGAGTGGGAGGTACTCGTATCAACCTATACGAGGTCCTTCGGTACAGGTATGAAAATACCTGTAACGCATACAAAGGAGATCTCTGGACTTGTCGGAGAATCATAATCCCTTCCTCATTCAAGGCACGCAAAGTTGGGGGCCGATGGAGTCTTCAGCCCTACCAGGGGAGTTTCATCGTACGAGTAGAGGCCTCAAACTCACCAGGGAGTGATTTGGGGGCCGGCGACACGTTGACGATAATCATGCATGGCCAAACAGTCAGCAGGCAAAAGACAAAGGCAAAGGCAAAAGGAGACGAATGGCACAGTCATCCACAGCTGCAGGGCGTGCAGGATCCAGTGGGTATTGGCAGATTACCACATGTGCTCGAGTCATTGATCCAAGTCACTGTTGATGGGCGGTAACGCAGGGAGAACGAGCAGGAAGAGGGCCAGGACAACTCGGTACTTGATGAGCAGAAGACTGCGAAGCGAGGCCTGGAAAGGGCAAGGCAAAGAATGACAGGGACAGGATGGTAGGATGATGGTCCTTTTGACAAGGTCGCCGATGTTGTTTACGAGAGCAATTCTGGGTGTCTGGTTCGGGGTCCAGGGGGAGGAGAAGCAGAGAAGACGGACTACGGGGGGCTTGTTTTGGTTCCATGGCGGCTCCAAACATCCAAACACCAATTCATGGGTAGTTCGCCCAGGCCCGAGCCCATGCCCAAGCCTACAGGTTTCCCGCCTACGAGCAGCCCACACCCCCCCGAGCTCCCCCAAGAGCAATAGTTTAGCGACAATTAGATCATGTTTGTGAATTTGTTTCTCCATTCTTGACGAAAATGGTGGAATTATTGAAACAGAAAACCAGGTTCTCGTATGTACGGGTCTGGCCCCTGCCTGACCATGATGGAGCGGTCAATCGCGTGTTTTCTCCCTATTTTTCTCACATGAAAAAAAGCCGTAGAAGAGGGGTATATTCCATTACACGTGCCATAACGGAAGACGACGGTGTCTGCCTCGTGTCCCCAGTAGAGTCCAGGTACACAACCCCTCGGTTATTCAGAAGCACCATGGAACGAACAAAGGGGGGCCTCACCACGGTGTGTCCTCTGCAGCAAAGCAGGAGGTGACCCTATCAACCAATGACCTCACCATTTCGTCAAAGCATGGATAAGTTGGATCCAGGAGAGTTACAGCAGCGCCTCACCAGAAGTCGGTGACCAAATGGATGATGTAGATGTTGTGCATCAACCCGCCACAGTTTCACAGCCCCCGAGACCGCAACGGAGGCTTTTGGGCGGTGAATAAATAGCAGCAGATGTGGCTCAGGCATGACACAGCCAATCACACAAGACATCACAGCCACTAAATGGGCCCTGCGCCATGACCAAAGAGCTTGGACTGGACACTCCGAGCCCTGGGGGCCAATCAGGGCGTTCAGACTGATGAGGACACTTGCAAACCACGTTTTTACAGGGGCCCAGCAGACCGCATCCTGCACGATGGCGCCAATCGCATCGGCCTCGCCTAATGACAACCACCCAAGGCCCGCCATCACCTTGAAGAGAAAGCGTTCTAGGGAAGGGAGCCACTGAAAGCCACTGGAGGCCGGGGCCCAAGACCCCCTAAACTGCCCATGTCCCTTGGGCCAAAGGTCCCTTCTCCACTCTACGTCTACACTTTCCCTTTGTCCTGCTTCTCTTTTGGTGACTTCTTCGCTCAATGTGGCAGAGCCAAGCTCCCTCCACTCAATCAGGTCCATGCCCCAGACACGAGCCATCGGGGTTTTCGTCAAGAACCCACTCCTTCCCAATCCAGCATCTCCAGCCTAATCCCTACCCTTTGGCACCCCCATTGACACCTATTGGCAGCACCTCGGGACCACGCCTAGGCTTCCTCGGGCTCCAATGGGGCTTCTCTTTGGCTGACAATCCGCAGTCCTGGGATGTGCCGTCACAAGCAACTGACAATTTGACGGGATCAACGGGAACTCACTCCCTGCTACAACAAACAAAGCACACGAGAGGGGAATTGGTCCCTGCCCGTCTGGGAACTCTACTTTTTGGTGCTAACGACTGCTACCAAGTGACTAACAGAGTCATCTTCCTGGTTAATCTGAGAAATCCATTGCTACTCTACGATTAAACCCCTCAAAAGTGAGAACCGGCCAATGGTAATAATGGGTACTTTTGTTCAGAATTCTTTCAAGGGTGGTGGGTGTGGTGGTGGTACGAAGTGATGAAGGAACTCAGGGAAAAGAGCAGGGAAACGGAAAAATACAAAGTTCCGGCTCTGATTGATGGCTGCTACCCGCCTGTGGTTTGTATCTTGCTTTAATTACTACCTAGGTAGAAACTAAAGGCCGCACAATCATTTCCTTTCACTCTACGCCAAAATGAAATTGAATTGATTGAATCACTACAATGATTGTTTCTACTCTCTTGGCCAGCATATCCCTTAACGTTCCCAAAAAAGACCAGGATATTGGACCTTTCTGCTTCGTCTGCTTCCTGCTCCTCCTTCTTCCTGCTTACGAGTAGGCCTCTCCGAAAGCTAGCTTACTTGGTGCTGCATTAGCCTGTCACAGTGACACTCTTTCCGTGGTGTATTGCGTTGTTACAGCCACACCGCGACACCCCTGCACCTTTAGCCTCCGAGGGGTCACGGACTCACGGTGAGGGCCCTGGTCCACCCTTGCTCAAGCCCTGGTCCATGTCCAAGCCATAGGGCTAACCGTTCAAATGTATAGTTCACTGGGTCCATCTCTGATCTGAGAGAGACTTTGGCTCATCTGAAGCGACAGGGCCCCTGCTTTCGGTAAGACCCTTCTTGTTCCCTTAGCTAGTTTATCATGCTGGTACAGATATTCCAAACGACTATATCTCACGATTTCGCCCCCCATCTGCCAGCCTGAGATCAACTCTTACAAGAAATCCTCTTCAAACACCTCTTATTATTCCCTTCGCTCCCCTGGGACATTGGACCTCGTCGTCTGTTGCCCAGTTTTGACCTGCCTGAGGCAGCACTCAACGTCCAGCACAAACCTCGAACGCACCCGCGCGGCATCCGTCCCTCCTCCCCTTCCCGCAGCCAACCCCATCTTTACTCCTTTCAGTATTGATCGGCACTTTCTCAGCAAGCCTCACCAGCTCGCTCTTTGTTTGTCAGAAAAGAGAAGAAACCCTCCGTCCGGTCCCAAGAGCATCTAGACCTTGGAACCTCGTATTCGTCGGCGCTCTATCGATATCGCTTCCGGAGCCTCAAGAGACCTAGAACCCTCGCATTCACGCGCCTCCCTCGGCCCCCTCCGCGCGCAGTCCTCACAGAGCCGTATCTCAGCCTACAAGCCTTACTGTTGTCATTCAAGGCCATATACTCTCATCTTTCCCCAGCTCATGCAGTCGCATTGAACTTCAAGAGTCCCCCCCCTGGCCCATACAATGCTCGCTCTCGAGCATTCTCGGCGTCAACAATTCGACCCAGCATTCGACTTCGAGCAAAGCATTCAAGCGCCCTTCCCCAGTCTGACCATGGATACCTTCGACTCGACCGACCCCATGATCAACTTTCATCCTCTCCCATACTCGTTCTTTGACAACCCATCCATGTTTGCGACGGCTCCCATGCAATCACTCAAGCAAGAAATGCCGCCATTCCAAGACCTTCCGCCGGCTCTAATTTCGTCGGGCTCGGCACCTTCAATCCCCAGCGCGTCGTCCTCCACAGTCGGTTCTCCATACTCGGGTCCCTCCCATACCGTCTCAAGTCAGGACGGTTTCGACCGCACAGCTCCTCCATTCGGTCTGGGTGTCATGCCAGCTATCGTCAATCACGAAGCCTTTTCGCATGACATCCTAGGAACTTCCATGGAAGCCGAGCTGTCGTTGGGGAGCCATGAGAAGCTCCCCGACAGTTTTGTGGGTGAGTGTGCAGATCTTTCCTCTTCTCGTTCGCGACCATCGACTGGTGCCATTTTCAATGCCCAATCCTTGCAGCCACATCCATCATCTATTAGTGCTTCGCCCGAGTCACTGTCCATCCATACTTTCTTTGATCAAGGCGTGTCCACCGTGCCTTCAGTCGCTTCCCTCTCGGGGGTTTCCACTGGTACCCAGTCCCCTTCATCCGAGCAAACTTTGGCAACACCGACCTTCAAGTCACCCACCACACCTGCTTCAGCATGTTCCAAGCACTTTTCCGTTATTTCTCCCGTCAACGCGAGGAGCTTCTCCCCAACCTTGCGCTCGCAGACGGCTCCCATCTTCCACCCTCATATGCTCTCTCATGACGCGCATGTTGCACCGCATCAACATCAACATCACACGAGCCGTTTTCAGTCTCATTTTTTTGCCCAAAGCAGCGGCAACTTCATGCCGCCGCTGGAAACATCCTGTTCGTCTCTTCCGCCTGTATTTCCTTGCCCTTCCACTCGTTTCCTTGCTCCGTTGTCATGTGTCCTTCCTGGTGGTTCCGGGCCCTAGCCGCTTTCATCGTTCCTGCTTCGATACCAAGGGCAAGTCATACTGATGCTTTTTCCACAGATCCCTCTTTGATCCACGCGTCCAGGCCGTATGGCGATACGGTCTTCGCTGACCACGGCGCTTTCGCACCCAGCTTACACTCCTTCACCACGACATCACCTTCCGGCTCACCAGCACCATCACCTCAGCCATACAGCGTGTATCCCCCCACGCAATTTTCCGAACCCCTCACCAATGCCAACTACTATCAACAGCAGCAGTACATGAGTCGACGACCTTCGCTGGCTTCCTATGTCTCCGGGGGTTCCCATCCAAGTCCGACCTCAGAAATCGACGACGATGGCCGGGACAAGAGCCGATGCCCTCATCGCGACTGCGGTAAAGTCTTCAAGGACCTGAAGGCTCATATGTTGACTCATCAAGCCGAACGGCCAGAGAAGTGTCCGATCCTGACTTGTGAGTACAATCAGAAAGGGTTTGCTCGCAAGTACGACAAGAATCGACACACCTTGACCCATTATAAAGGTACTATGGTCTGCGGGTTCTGCCCCGGATCAGGCTCTCCGGCCGAAAAGAGCTTCAACCGAGCCGACGTATTTAAGCGCCACCTGACTTCTGTCCACGGAGTCGAGCAGACACCACCCAACAGCCGGAAGCGCAGTCCATCTGCAAGCAACCGAAAGCTCTCCAGCTACTGTCAAGATGCCACCGGCAAATGTTCCACTTGTTCAGCCACCTTTAACAATGCTCAAGACTTTTATGAGCATCTTGACGACTGTGTGCTGCGCGTTGTGCAACAAGAGGAGCCGTCCGAGGCGGTCAATGTCCAACACCTCTCTCAAATCAACAACGACAAGGACGTTCAAGAGACCTTGGACCGTCATATGATCAAGACTGAGGATGCTCCAACCAGCTTTGACGATGAAGACGAGGAGGACGAGGAAGATGATGAGGACGATGACGAGGATGATGACCCGTCGTTCAACAGTCGATCCGGCAAAGGCATGATTAAATCCAACAAAGCCCCTGCCTCGTCCCGTGCAATCATCGGTGGTGGCGTCTCCAAACCTGGCAAGTCATCAAAGAAAGGTATGACTTGGTCCAAAGGTGGAGTGGCTCTCGTCGGCAAGGGTCGCAAGAAGAGAAGACATTACCCACCGTCCTGGGGCATGGCTGCCGAGAAGATGCGCATGAAGAAGCGTGTGCTTTGTGTCTATGACGGCCAGCGGCGCTTGTGGAAGGATGACATGATGCTCCACAACGAATTCGAGGTCCGGATGACCCTGCCTGACGGCAAGAGCTACGTTACCGACCTCGATGTCGAGACTCTCAAGCGAGCTGAAGCCTTCCACAACGCCACCCCTGAAGAGAAGGGTCCCTGGATTCCGACGTCAGAGCATGAGAGTCAAGGTTTCGACCTTAACGCGCTCATGGCTTGAATCATTGGCATTGACATTTTTCCTTGTACTAATGATGTGCTTTGAGCGATATGGATATGGATATGGACAAGCTGATCTCGACAATTCCTTCCCTAGGAGAGATCCTTATTCTGTTTATTCTTTTAATATCTTTTGAGATCATGGCTGCTCCCGAAGAGCATGCAGCGATGGCAAATGTGGACATGAAATTTCTCACCAGGTTGAAGCAGCCCTGTGGAAAAAAGTTGGCAATGCTTGTGATGAGCACATGGGTTTTGGGAAACCAGTTCGTGGATATGGGAATGATTTTGGATGTTATGTGGAAAGGACCGTCTTGGATGCCAACAAGAAGATACCCGTCACTGAAAGCTCCTCGAGGTTGCTGAAAAGCTAGTGTACGATAGATCCCTTGAAAGGGCAAACCAGGAAGCGCTGAGCGCTACAGTATTGCAATGAAGGAAGTTTCCTTTGACCTTTGACAATTGAATCCTTCGTGCTTGTTTTGGTATCGCTAGAGGGGCTTTACTGGTACCCCTCACGGATGTACTGTTGGGTGTTCGGGGGCGCCCACGTCACGTCAGGCAGGGACTTTACCTGACCACTAGCGAGCCAGTTAAGAGCCGAACCGCGCCAAGCTTTCCGTCATCGAGACTGCGCCTGGCCCAACATCATTCACCTTCGGACTCTTTGAAGGAGTGAACGCAAGGCTACGAAAGCCCCTATGCATGCCGATCTCTTGCTCCCATTACTCGGTAGATTCCTTCCTGGTCATCAGCAAAGCTCCCCCCAGAGGCAGAGTCCTAGTGATAGCTGAGCCAACGCTTTGATCTCCGCCGCAGGCGCGGCACCCACCCACACGACATGGCCAACGATGCTCAATCAGACCCTTACAATTATGGTGTCGTGGTACACGGTACACCTACGCACTTCTCTATGTGCCAGAGGCCAAGCTAACGGGTTTCATCACAGAAGCCCCCAAATTCGATCTTGCCGCGTACATCTCCAACTACAGAGGTTTGTCACATTGGACTGGACGGAGGGATCTTGATTTAGCACTAATTTCCCATCTCACAGGTCGAACCGTGTTCAGACGACTCCACCTGATTGCATCATGTTCTACGGTCCTCGCAGAGGAGGCCGCCCGAATGGCCGTGCTCGAGGCGAAGAAAGGTAGCGATGTGCGGAACTACCAGGAGGCAGTTACACTGCTGGAGCGGGTGTCAAAAGGCAAGAATATTGACCACCTACGCGACCCAACATGGGCTGCCCAGCAAGAAAAGAAGAACACCGCCGAAACTGCACGTCTGGAAAGTGAACTGAAGGGGTACAAAAATAACCTGATCAAGGAGAGCATACGAGTGAGTTGGATGCAGCCATGCCGTGCAGAGGGAGACATCTACTGATTTTGCGCGCAGATGGGAAATGAAGATCTGGGTACTCATTATTATACCATTGGAGACCTGTACGATGCAGTCAGAGCGTATTCCCGCATGCGGGACTACTGCACCACCACGGCTCATATCACATCCACTGCGTTCCGAATCATTGCGGTTGCCATCGAACAGCGCAATTGGCTAGCTGTTCAGTCTCAGGTACAGAAGGTCAAGAATATTCAACTCAAGCCTGAAGACATGACAAGAAATCAACCCAAGATCCAAGCGGCCTCGGGTCTCCAGCAAATGTCGACTTTCGAATACCACGAGGCTGCCAACAGCTTCCTCAGCACTGACCCCAGCTTGGGAGATAGTTACAGTGATGTATTGACGAGCAACGACGTTGCCGTCTATGGTGGTCTCTGTGCGTTGGCGTCCATGTCTCGGTCGGAGCTGCAGACCAAAGTCTTAGAAAACAGCAGTTTCCGCAATTTCCTTGAACTGGAGCCTCACATCCGTCGGGCCATCAGCTTCTTCTGTGCCAGCAAATACAGTCAATGTTTGGAGATTCTTGAGTCCTATCGGGCGGACTATCTCCTAGACATCTATCTACAGCCTCTTGTCGCAGACATCTACACTCGAATCCGAACCAAAAGTATCGTCCAGTATTTGCAGCCTTTCAGCAAGGTCACATTGGCAAGCATGGAACGCATGTTTGGGAGGGCATCGATGCCGAACGGCGCCGCAACAGGACAGGACTTTCTCAGTGAGATTGTTTCTTTGATCCAAGACGGTCGACTCGGTGCCCGAATCGATATGGAGCATGGAGTCCTGGAAACTGTCGAACAGAATCCTCGCGCCCAGGTGCAGCAGGCGGCACTAGACACGGTGGACTCTTTTGTTCGTGAGGCCCGTTTGAAACTGATTCGGCTGCAGGTCATCAATGCCGGGCTCGAGGTCAAGCCAGCGCCTAAGAAGAAAGCATGGGGCATTGATCAAGGGGACGGCACATGGGACGAAAGCGAGGCTGCTTTCCTAGGGCCGGGCGGCAGAGACATTATGGCAAACGATTTGGAAGGAGTGACTTACCCTCAACGCAAGGGCGGATAGGATCAGTCATGTAAGCGGAAGAGGGAGATTTGAGCAATGAGATGAAACCCACGGATCCCGAGGTGTGATGTCTCAGCCAATCTGGACGATTTCCCAAATCACAGACCACCAAACGGCCCTGCTGGGGATAAAATCGCCGCGTGATATCGCGCAACAGACGCCAGCATTGCAAGGGGCAGATTCCTTTTTGCCAGAGATAAGCCGCTTGAGGTGGGCGACGTGCTCGAGATGGGGTCCTTGGGTTGGTGTCCTGACGGAGGGCCTGATACGGCACCGTGGAAGCAGAACGATATGGACGAATAAACGGGGTCACGAAATGACATTAGTTGCCACGACATCTGGTCAGGATTCCTAGAGATTTGGTGCATTAGCGGTAGGGCTGACAATACCACGACTGAGGATTGATTTGGATTTGGCGGAGGCCGAAAGCGAGGCGATACGCCTCAGTGCCGATACCTTTGCCCCGTGCAGCATCTTTTGAGCCATCCATCCACCGAGCACATTCACGGGACATATTGAGGGATGTGAGGGATGTAATATTCTGGCAATAAGTTGTGCCTGACCCCCAGCGGGGTTCCTCCCCTATCGCCCAAGAATCCTACTGCCAGCATGCTAGCATGATAGACAGGGCAGTTGTCGAGTTGCCCGTCTCGGAGTCTCCTTTTGGACTTGATTACCTACTACTGTAGCTACGTTGTACGAGTAAACTCGATACACCAGATACGGCGGCGGCGTGCTTAGTCAACCCAGAGGCAGAGTGGCGTTGATTGATACCAAGTCCGAGTATCATTTTGTTCTGGGTCCTCTGAACGAGATGACTTGCATGGATGGTGCACGGTGGTGCATGGTGGTGCATGGGTACATGGATTTTGGAGACCCCAAAGGGACGAGTACAAGTACCGAGTATACTGGGAAACTATGTCCTACGTGCCTGATAGGGAGTATGAGGGACTAGGAGAAGGAGAAGGAGAAGGAGATACGCCGTCGAGGGTTTACTCGGACATGGACATGGACTACGAGGGTAATTACTCGACTCAAACTCGGAGATAGGTTGTAGTCAGCACCAGCACCAGCACCGGCTACGGAGTAGATCCTATCCATTTTTATGGCCCTTTGCGTGTCTTTTCCCTACCATCCTTTGTCCCGTTTGAGGGTTTGAGGGATTGTTCTAGTGGAAAAAGACTCGAAGTCGACATGGCTGACTCGGTATTGGGTTTTATTCCAAACCCCCCCCCCCCCCTTTTGGGGCACTGGGGCTTTTAGCGAGGATGGTGTACAAATGCGCGAAGGTGACAAAGGTGACAAGGTAGGTAAGTTAGTGACGGAGTTGGCTAGAGAACCAAAGTACGGAGTACCGAGTAGGTAGTAGTCGCTCGTAGGTAGATGGCTGGTGGGTAAGGTAGTGCCCAGTGCGTAGTGCGTAGTGGATGGTGGGTTTGGTGGGCGTCCAGCAGAGCAGGGGTCATGTCACTTGGGAAAAGGTGTGTGGGCAGTGGGCACTTGGGTAAACAACACCAAAAAAAAATATTTATGGGCTTGGGGGGGGGAGTGGGTTGTGGATACAATGAGGGATGAAGGGGATCGACAGGGCTTTAACTCCCAAGTTAACCGAGTACGAGGACGAGATGACCCATACAGCCATAGTAGGACAAGCACAGATATGGACAAGACAAGGTCAAGAGTTGTGTTGTATTTGCATTTGCACTGCCTGCGAGAAAAGAGAGAGAGACGGCGAGAGAGACGGAGAAAAAGAGAGAGAAGGGCAGGGGAGACCCACTATCCATGATACGTCGCCATCACTCTCACACTCTCTGTGTCGGTACGTACCTTTTACTCATGATTATTATTTCACAACGACTTTGTTGGTTACTTACCACGAGCGAGGTACGAATAATTAACTCGGTTCCTGCACAAGTACGAGAAAAGACAGACGCGGCTCGGGGAGTGCATAACCGAGGATGGCACGGATGGATACCACCTTGACCACCAAGCAGGGGGGGGGAGGGAGGAGGATGGGACGCGGGTACCTAAGCAACTAGGGTGGTGGTGTGGATGTGTGAGATCACTTTCCAACTATGGGCTAGATATTCAAAACTACTTGGTAGAGTGGGAATACCGAGTCCTCCGTGGCTGTTGTACGTAAAGAAACCTGCCCTCGCTAGGTGCTCGCTAGGGCAGAGACCACACACCCAACACAGTGGCTCAGAGGAACCCATGCCCATCGCTCCCCAGACCCATGCCCTACCCTACCCTTGCAAGGAGAGATAAACTATGGCTCGTTGCGGAAGTCGGACGCTGGCAACAGCGGGATGGGGCATTTGTTGCTCTTCGTACACTAAATATCTTCGGGGTATGAGGTACAGAGTATGTTCTACGAATACTCCGTACTCGGTCCCGAGTAAGGTCGAATAATCAGGGGGATGATCCCGCTGGTGGCTAGGGATGAATGAGTATGTACTCCGTATGAGTAACGCTCTCACAGCGCTAAATACCTGGTACCTACCGAGGTCGAGGTATCGGCCTTACTCGTAGACAAGCGCGTGTACAATACATTACGCGCATGCATACAAGGACTCCGCATGTGCTCTGCTCGAAGGTACCTACATACTCATAGGGCTGGTGGGCTTACGAGTACCTACAGTAGGTCAACAGGATCACTGGTCTGGTGGAGATAGATGCATGGCCACGGGGGGATGGATATGCAGACAGGCAAGGCCATGATGGGTGCGTCCAAGCATGTATCTACAGTACAGACTATCTCCTCCTCCTGATGTACTGTAGGAACAAGGAGCCATGTGCAGAGGAATTTTGTAGCTTGATAGTGATCAAGTAAAAGTTTCTAAAGGATCAATTGGGTAGTGGGTAGGTAAGGGGAAGGAAGAGATATCGGGATACATATTCGTACGTACGAGGCAAAAGGTATTTGGTACAGACGCCTAGATGTACTCGTGTATACCAGATGTAAGAAAAAAGGGGTATGTGTACAGTAAGGTACAGTATGGGAGCACTACGTCTAAGCCTCTCGTTGGGATGGACAGGCTTATACCACCTGCACAGCGAGGTACTTTTGGGTTTGAATGGAGATATATGGGCATGGGAAAGAGAATGTCGTTAGGCATGCACGCATGGTAGGTATGTAGCACTCGACCAGTATAACGAGGTACTCGATACTCTCTCCACGCCCACATCCATAACCTGCCTCTACTCGCTACACATCCCCCTTTTCTACTCAGCCCGAGAGCGTAGCATATTCATTCCCATATCAAGATCATATCGCAGCTGCAAGAGCATCTTTCGAACAAGTCAGGCGGTCATTGAGACATGGTTCTCTCAGAGATCTTCACGTCTATCCTTCACGGCGCATTTCTCCTCTGCTTCATGTCTTCTTCAGAGTCATCTCTTGCATCTCTAGCTGGATTGAGTGCTTCCCGAGTTGTAAGGAGAGAGGATGTATACCCGACGTCGATGTGGCGCTGTATCTCATTTTATGCTGGTGGTCGGGGTTCGTGTCTCGAGGCCACTTGAGGAAGTGTACACCTCTAGAAGAAAGATCTCCAGGGCCAGGAGATGTAGTTCATCCGCATCGTGACGGGGCACATGTTGGTGGTTGATCTCGGGATGGAGAATTCATTTCATCCGGCGACGCGGAGACTTTTCTCCTCTTTCCATCTTCGCAGATGTCAGATGTGTAGTTACGTGGGAACGTAGGAGATCTCGATCTGGTGACGCGTTGATTCCTGCTAATATCAAAGAGCGAGACTCATCAAGGATCAGAGTGGTGCTGATAAAGATGAATGTGATCCATTTGACTTGTTGAAGATGATGCCCTGAGATTTCCTGGCGACAAATTCACCAGCAATTCCATCTCCCAAACCTGCATTGTCCCATCATACCAAGACCTGAACGACGTGGGCCAGAATGGCAGCGATGCACTCTCCGTCTTCTATTCTTCTACAAGGTGGCACCGTCCTAACACATGATGATCACGACCATGTGGTTCCCCTGCGGGACACTGACCTCCTTGTCTGCGACGGGGTCATCACCGACATTGGAAATAACATTTCCCCTCTTGACAGCGACACAGAAGTGATCGACTGCAAGGGCAAAATTATCTCTCCCGGCTTCGTGGATACCCACCACCATCTCTGGCAGACGCAACTGAAGGGAAGACACGCGGAGCAAGGGTTGGTCTCATACATGTACACCGGTAGGGTCCATTTACACAAACTTAGTTCAAATCAGTGGCAATGGTTCTGTGCGGCAGGTTCTGTTGACCACTGCAACACTAGGCAATATGATGTCCTATGCATATTCTCCCGACGACATATACTGGGGCCAATTGTCGGGCTGTCTCGAGGCCATCCACGCCGGTACCACGACTGTCCTGGACCACGCCCATTGTGCCTACAGCCCTGCCCACGGTGAGTCCCATAGCCACGCTGGTTATCGTTTACTGAGGCTCAACCGTCTAAAATAGCCGCTTCGGCTCTCAACGCAACCATCGACTCCGGCATCCGGGGTATCTTCGCGTACAGCATTCCCATGCGCATATCCAAATGGGACCAGTCGCAGTGCATCCCGGACCAAGACCTCCTTCCGGAGTGGGCACTCAAGCAGATTGCGGAACTGGCTCAGACACAAAATCAGCCCGGTGCAGTGGTCGAAATTGGCATGGGGTTCGACTTCTGGTTCCTGCCGCAAGAGATGGTTCTGGGCATGCTCGCGAAATTGAGGCAAAGTGGACTAAGAGTCCTGACCAGCCATGCTGGTTGTAACGCCTTCATGGGTGAGTCTTGCTTGCCCGTGTTTCGGATTGAGCGGGCATCAAAGTCCAGAGAGATCTCTGGATGAGGGTTTTCTTCGAAGCTCCTCGCGCTGTTGTAGAAAGCTGACCTATCCTGGACCCTGCAGGTCTTCAATCACCCGTACCCAAATTTCAATCCTACAAACTCCTCGGCGCGCCCTACCCACCATCAGAAACCGCACGGGAGATGCCTTTCCTTCTCCTCTCGCACTGCAACGGTCTCCCGCAGGAGGACCTATCCATCCTCGCATCAACCGGCACCCCAATCTCCAGCACACCGGGCACCGAGGCCCAGATGGGCATGTCCTACCCCGTCGCCCTGGACCCGGCGCTGCGAAACCAGGATGGCGGCAGAGCCAACGTCTCGCTCGGGGTCGACTGCCACTCGAGCGAGCCGTCGTCCATCCCCCAGCAAGCGCGCATGCTGCTGCAGCTGGCGCGGGTGGAGAAGAACGCCCGCCTCCTCGCCGAGGGGCAGTTCCCGTCCGGCGACGTCACGGGCACGTCCGAGGACGTGTTCAACCTGGCGACGATCCGCGGGGCGCGCTGTCTCGGCCTCGACGCGGACATTGGCAGCATCGCGCCGGGCAAAAAGGCCGATCTGCTCGTCTTCAACGCCTCCGCGAGCGTGGGCATGTTGAGCGCGGCCGAATACGACCCCGTCGTCGCGATCGTGCGGTTCAGCGAGGCCGCAGATATCGACACCGTCATCGTCGACGGCGTCGTGCGCAAGAGGGCCGGGAAACTGCTGGTTACCCCCGTCGGCAGGCACGTCACTGCCAGTCAGGCAGAGGTCCGTGGAACGGCAGCAGCAGAGGCAGTAGAAGGAGTATCAGAAGCGGCTACGGTTCTTTTGGAGTGGACCGAGATAGCCGACCGGGTCAGACGCAGCCAGAGAGAAATCCAGTCCCGAATCGACGGGCTCAGCCTCGACAAGGCAAGGGACATGATGCTGAGTGCCTACCACACGGACCTGAGCAGGCTGGTGGATGCCAGGTAGGTAGGTAGGTACCAAAGACCGGTACACGAGAGGAAGCAATTCACATAATACGAGTTTGGGAGAGTGTGGAGCGTGGAGCGTGGTCGAGCTACATAAACATTAACCTGCCTTACAAACTACTTAGCTAGTTAGCTCAAGCTCCCTTGGATGACTTCAAGTGGCTACCATTACCATTCCCATTCCCACAGGTAGAAAGAAGTGTTCATATCGACGCTCCGAGCCTTGAGTCCTGAGCCCTCGTGTTCCTGTTCCTGCAGCGTGACTGAGTGTGTCTGTTCCATTGCCCATTGTGCATTGATCATTGTTCATTCCATGCCTCCAACACGTATTTCTCCCGAGATACCTTACTAAACCTGTCAACGGTTGGTTGAGGGACGTCGCAATCAAAAGAGCGATGAAAGTCATTGCCATCCAGCATATTTGGTTTGGTGTAGTTTTCGTTACGACGTGTCATTCATTCATTTCGCCATCACTTTCACTTGCGTCTATCCGGAAGCGTCGCCGCCTGCGGCATCTCCCCAGGGACGACGCCTCGGAGGCGGATGCTGGCTCGCACGGTGGCGCCGTTGCCCATGTCGAATTTCTGCTGCAGCGTCTTGTCGGGGGCGTCGGCCACGGTGGCAAAGGGGATGTCGACGGCGCCAATCTCCTTGGTGCCGTCGAGCAGCGCGATGCGGAAGTTGTCCGGGCTGCTGCCCACCAGGTCGGTGGTGATGGGGAGTCGGAACGCCTGGTCAAAGGCCGGGTTGTTGATGTCGGTGCCGGGCGCGTCGGTCTTGACGGCGGTCTGGAACCGTTGCGTCTGGCCCCACGTCACCACGACGCTGGGTTTCAGGTCCTCGCGCCGGCCTGGGATGCCATAGGCCCCCGCCACCAGGATTGTCGCAATGCCCGAGAGCCGGCCGTCGCCTTTGTGGTCCGACGCGGTCAGGCTGCCGGCGTCGGCCACGTACTTGAAGAACTGGCACGAGATGGACACCCTGCCATCGGTTTGCTGGCCCTTGTGCACAAGCGGTAGTTCCTGGCTGCCTCCGGCTAACAGAATCTCGCGGACCGTGGTCACGGCAAGGCCGACTTCGTCGTCTCCGTTGAGGTCCTCATCGAGCACGTCCACCTTGATGCACTGGTCGAAATCACTCACGACAAAGTCATGCGTCTCGTTCCACGACGGCCTGTTGGTGTTGTTCTTGGTGGCAGTCTTCCACGCTTCCTCGCCCCCGACCTCGACCTTGGCGTAGCAGTCTGGAGCGGCACCGGTCAACTTGTTGAACAACTTTTTCGTGGATGACTTGGCCTCCTCTCCGAAGCCCCACGCCTTCTCCACGGTCACTCGCACCATCCCGAGTGGGTAGTGGTACGTTTTGAAGTAGTCGGCATTGGCGTCAAGCTTGACCAGGAATCGATTGGGGAGGGTGAACATGGAGTTGATGATGCCAAGAATCACCTTCCGGACCGTGTCATCAATGATGGAGAAATCGGCCACGTTGGCAGCGCCTGTGAAATCAAGCTTGAGAACTGGTGGGTTGATGAATGATATCTGGGCGGCTCCGATCTGCATCCAATGTCAATGGGGAGCACGCCAGATGGGCAGAAAAATGTGCGTACCAGTGGTATGACGTTTGTTAGAGGGCATAGAAGAATAGAAAGCCTTCCATGCAGCTGTACGCTTTCGACGCCCTGCAAAACGAATCAATGGACTGCGCCAGGCTAGCACAAGACACACTACTCACAAGGGCAGGGATCATGTCTGCGTCCATTTCGATGTCGGCTTTGCCAACCCAGTCGACGTTCAAATCGAGTTTGATGCCATCCACCTCTGTCTTTGTCGTCTTTGCATTTGACAGTCGTAGAGGTTCAGGGCCGAGATCGATCTTGGTGAAGTGCAGGGTGGCCAGTGGGCCAGGGAGCATCGTCTTGAACATGGGCTCGACGATCTCCTTGACCATTTTGCTACCGGCTGCGTTGATATTGGGCCACAACTGTCTGACCAGGTCGTTCAGGAACTCTGTCAACTTTAGAGGCCTGGTTTCAAGAAATGATGTCCATCACATGCTCGTACATACCCACTGATTCACCCCCTCCTTCAGCAGTCAGCTTTTCGACGAGTCCGGACATGATGATTGCAATCGTGGTATGTTCGAGAATATTTTCACGGCGAGGCTCTTTAACTTGAACTTGCAAGTCAATATTATGCTGTGTAGAAGAAAGACGAACGCGCTCCCTCGCAGCAAGGAAGCAAACAACAACTGACGATGAGTTGGCACATGACGTCACCGGTCTTGGTGCAGACCATTCCGGCCGATATCTGTTGCCGCTCTAATTTCTCGCGTTTGTCTCGTATCCTGAAGTCAGAGCTCGAGCAATCAATCATGAAGCAGACCTCCTTGTTGATGTTCTCCAGTGGGAGCATTTGAGTTAGATCAGGTTCTGTAATGAATAGTATGATATGTACTTCAGGAACTAGAGACACCAGTATCACAGTTTACTAGTCACCTTGTCATCACTTCCCTTCCGCAGGACCGCACTGTCAACCCGTCTTCCCTCGTCGTCCTGCTCGGCAACCTCCAGGACGGGGAACTGCGCGGGCATGATGCGACGCGGTGTTGAGCCGGGCACGACGCTATACTTTGAGAAATCCGTCACGCCTTTCTTACGCAGAAAGTCTTCATCTAGGTCGAGTAGGCCGTTGACCTCCTCGGCAGGAGATTGGAGCATGGCAAGGATAGCGTCCGAGTAGATTGTCTGTTGTGGCGAGAAGGAAGAACATTGTTAGATTTTGCCATGCTGTGGTATGATACACTGACAAATAGTCGAGAAGGAAACTTACAGGTTTTCTTAGATCCTTGAAAAAGTCTGGCTCGCGATCCACTGAGCGTTGGGTCGCAGCTGATTCAATGGACTGATGTAGTCACACACATAAAGTCAGTCAAGCTCTTCTTTTTTGACAGCAGCCGGTGTGTGATCCGAGGTGCAAAACAGTGATAGCAAAGGCAGACATACCACGGCAGGCCAAATACTCGTAATGGCCATTTCTTTCCGCCCCTGTCTCACAAAATCCATGGCGAGGCCTTTGGTCAAGACACTCATGCCCACCTTGCCCATAGCGTAGGCGGTCTTTCCCCGGAAGAAGCGTGAATATATGGGCGGAGACACCACGATGATGCGTCCCTTCCAGCCCTGCTTTCCAAAATGAGGCAGCGCCGCTGATACCGCCGCGTACAGGCCTTGCGGATTGACTTGCTGAAGCAGCATGAAGCGCTTGACCGGGGTGGTCTCCACCGCTGACCACCAAATTGCCCCAGAGTTGTAGATCAGCACGTCTAGGCGGCCCAAGCGGCGTGCGACCTCGTCGACCAAGTCTTTGACGTTGTCCACATCCCGCACGTCGACAGGTAAGGCGAGTGCGGAACCACCAGCCTCAGTGATCTCCCGGGCTACGGTGTTGATGGTCGACGCTGGTGAGTTCGGGTCGGGCGGGAACGAAGATGCTGGTATGGCGCTAGCATCCGACGTGGTTTTGGCCGCGACGACGACTGTAGCAGTCTGGGTCAGGAGGCTTGAATGTCTAGACAGATGTGCAACGGCGGTGGTACGGTCTGCCTGTGAATGGATATCTGCATTACTTACCGAAGTAGCCATGTTGTGCGAGGTCGATGGCAACTTGCCGGCCGATGCCCCTGGACGCGCCGATAATGAGGCAGACCTCCTTGTTGTCGGGGTTCATCTTGAAATATCTCTTTGATTCTTCTCGAGAGTTGGTCCAGCGAGCGGAAGAGTCTTGCGGAGTTCAACTAGCGAAAAAACACGTCTATATAAGCCAGCAGGTATGGCCGTAGGTGATGAGTGAGTGTGGGTGGATCACTAATAATATTTCCCCAGATGCAACTGTTGGTCAGGGATCGCAGCCTGATGAGCCTCGGCTGGGCGTTCGACAGCGTCTCGATTACCTCAATGCCAAGACGGGGATGAGCCTTAAGCCTTGGCAGGGGTAGAATTCAAGGCGGCACGTGCGAGGCTACAGACGGTTGACATCTTTTTGCTCAAGAATCTATTACTCTCGCAGGTCTAGATGGACTCTCCTGCGTCTCCTGATCCTATATTGCGTAACTTTAAATACAACAGGGCTCCTTTCACACACCTTGTGGCCACAATATCCTGCACACTGCGCCACGAGTGACGAGAAACCTCGTGGAAATGTCGCCATGTCAGTCTCGATACTCTCCGCAGATGGTCGACCAAACCTCTGCAACGCACACCTTATATCTAAGAGTGAGCACATGCGAGACCTGACAGAGTAAACTCTCGTTTGTTTGTTGAAGTAGACTGCGAACACCATGTCCAGGAACCTCCGAGTCTCGTCTGAGTGAGCATGATTCTTGAAGGTCCCCAGAAGGTCCTCAGTGGGCAGGTCCTATTCCCCACCACAGCGAGCAAAGCCTTTTCCCAAGCCAGGATATTATATATATGTACTCGAAGACCACCGCTATGTCAGTGCTGCCCAGTGCTCTCATAGACCTGACCACGCATCGTGCATCGTACCACCGTTTTTTGTCACAGCTCCCGTCTGTCGAACGACTCTTGGGGAAAAATGGAGGCCGACTTTGATATTGACGACTTCTACCTATCTCCTGATAACGACGAATCTCAAGGCAGGTACGATGGTTCGTCGAATCCCATCGTTCCTCAAATGTTAAGCCCGAGCTCCGCGAGGGCGTACCTGGCTGCTCTGGGCATATCCTTTCCCGAAGATGGGGAAATCACGACAAATCCCCATTCACGGAGAGTGGATTTCTCGGAAGTGGCGAGTATTGCTCGAGGATTTGATGCCTCGGCGGACCCCACCTGGCCCTTCGTCGATGACGGACTAGTATCCAGCTCAAATGATGGCGATGACAGTTCCATCTCCCACGAGGGATCACCCAGATCGGGCAATCCTCGACGTCTCGGCCAATTTGGAGATGCACCACCAGCCCACTACATAGGGAATAACGACGCTGATTTCTCCGACGAAGAACCATACGACGCCGGCGCCAACACTCCCAACTACAGAGCCGCTTCACGAGATCTCTGTCTCGTCATCATCACCGACCTCAAACCCGAACACGGCAACGCCTACGCGCCAAAAAGGGAATACGTCACGCTACTTGAATTCAAGCTGGACAGACCCTTCACCAGACACCACATCAATCTGCCGCATGCTTCGCTCACTATTCATCTAAGCTGGGACCACGATGCGTGGAAGCCACAATATCAGGTCCGCCGGTCGTGGCAGGTGCCGGGCCACATGCACGAGGTATTGGTCATCCATTACAAACTTGTCGACACGCCTTGTATGGGTCCGTGTGCTCGGCGGTGTTTTCCCTTGGACTCCGAGGTTCAAGAATGGGTGGACGACAACCTGCGTCCTCTGAACGGGGATAGTGACGAAGAGGTTGTTCTTGAGCGAGTCAGTGGCGTAATGCGGAGAGGTTGAATTTGAGCAGCAGTCGGAAGAACTAGTGCTACGAAACCGGACGGTCCAGCACCACTTGGAAGTTTCTCACAGGAAAATTGGTGTACAAATATCTGGTGTTATTGGATGTTGCACTGTTATTGGCAATAGTCATCCTCACGCTCATGAAGATAGAACCACCTTCTCTTTGCCTGGTGGTTTATGACTCTTCGTACAGCTTTAGTATCAGAGTGCTATTCCTTTATTTTCTTCTTCTGGAACAATCCTACAGCACGCGCGCGTCAGTTAGTCCTTCAGCCAGATTCACCCCCCTCAGTAAACTTCAAAATTTGAGAATGGCGAAAATCAACAATGAATGACTGGGAACGAAATGTGACGACAGGGAATGGTGTCGAACGTACCAGGAACCTCTGGCATCCACGAATCGCGCCTGCTGGTGAAAAACTCGCCCTTTGGCGGCAGGTCGGTCGGGTGGTCGAGGGTGCCGTAGAAGACGTAGACAAAGTCGCCCGCGTTGGCCTGGAGGGGGGGGCAGATTTTGTTCTCGCGTTAATAAACCATAACATACCAACACTCGATGCTCGATGCTCGACGCTCGACGCTCGACGCTCGACGCTCACAAGAACCAAGACGATTGTCCACTCACCCCATACTCCAACAACCCACTACCACACACCTTGCAAAACTCGCGGTGCAGGACCGTCCCCGCCCCATTGTCCGCCTCGTGGACCTGGACGGCGTCCTGGCCCTGCGTGACCCTAAAGCTGGACCGGGGGATCTTGCTGGTGATGCCGAAACTGCCGCCCGTGAACTTTTTGCAGTTGCCGCAGTGGCAGAGGGACGTGCGGGCGTCCTGGGCCGGGTCGTCCAGCCGGATCTCGTAGCGGATCTTGCCGCAGTAGCAGCCGCCGGGGATGGTGTGGCTCATTTTGTCGGTCGTGTTCTTCGCTGCTGCGGCGGCAGGTCGAGGAAGAAAAAGGTCGTGCTGGGGATGGGGATGGTGATGAATAAATACGAGGGATTTCGGTGCTGGGCTTGCGTCGACAGAGTCCTGGCCCGTCGTGGAGCTGGCGATGAAGCCGAAGATGGAGTATTGAGGCTGATGATGCTCGTGATGTCGATGCTCAAGCTACGATGCGGTAGACGTCGAGGTCTTAAGATCTGGAATTTCTGTGAGCACGTCTCGACACTCTTCTAGTTCGAAGCTGCGAGGAAGCACGTAGTGGAAGTGTGCCCTGGTGTCTCGTCTACCTTATATTGATCTTTGACGTCGACATGACGCCGAACGTCATTTGGTCTCTCATTCGTCATATTTCCCAATTCAGCCGGATGTCCTGGCCGCTCATTGGACAATATCCCTTCAGCCTCATTGGACGGAGATGCACCAAACACCAGAAAGAAATCAAGGTGTATTTCGGATTCATCACCAGGGGGTATCTATCTGATGCCTAAATGTGCTCCGTAAAAGTGACATGTCTCAACCAATGCTTGCGCAGCCAGTGCCGAACAAATCCCGCTCATGTAGGGCCCCAAGACTGTTCGTTCCTCCAGCCCAGGTATCTTTCAGTGAGTTGTAATTCCGTTCTATGACAATCATAGCTTGAATTTCTCCAGATAATCCGTTGCCGCCTTCAACGCCTCGTCGATATTGGACTGCTCTGTCCCTGTGCCGATGGCAACAGGTTCCTTTCCCCCAGCCTTGCCGCCGACAAGCTTCGACACTGTTGACGACCACTCGGGGGATTTCATGCCGGCCTTGGTGCCATTCTGGGGGATCAGTGTCAGCTAACTGGCTCCTATGTTGTTTGTGGAAAGGGAACTTACCTGACTGACAAAACATCCATGGTAGACCTTGCCTTCGGGATCTTTCTCATCCGCCACCATAATGTACACACTCTTGTCTTTCATCTTAGTCTGGACATGTTTGACCACATCTGGCACAATTTTGGGATTCCCTCCAATTGGTAGCCTCAGCACCGCCGCTTGAGCATTGGGGGACTTCTCAAAGTACTCTGTTATCGTGTCGATGGCTTTCTTCGTCTCCTCCTTCTGCAATTTCTTCTGCTGATCGAGGATCTCTTTGCTGATTTTCGAGAAGCGGTCTCGGAATTGTGATTTTTTCACCGCCGATATCGACAAGTTATTGAGTTCAAGCTGGATGGCCTTCGCTTCATGTTCCTTCGGCGTCCCGGATGGCATTTTCTCAAGTTTGTCCAGTTTCGCAGAGAAATCATCCGCCACGCGCTGGACTTCATGAGCGTCCTCTCCGGTGACAGCGATGATTCTCCGAATGCCTTTGGCGATGCCGCTTTCTTCGAGGATAACAAGGTCCTTGATATCGCCCGTGCTTCTGACGTGGGTGCCACCGCAGAATTCGATGCTGACCGTTTTCCATTTGTCGTCCTTGACATTGTTCAGGATATCATCAACTTCGACACCCACCGACACAACCCGAACGGGATCAGGGTACGTCTCGCCAAAGACGGCTCTGACACCCGAAATCTCACGGGCAATGACCAAAGGCACATCCTTGGCATATACGGGGCAATTCTGCCTGATATACTCTGTCGATATGTCTTCGATCTTCTGCAAATCAGCGTCTGAGACACCTGATTTGTGGCTGAAATCAAATCTCAACTTTTCCTGGGCCACTAACGAGCCCTTCTGTTCCACACCATCGCCGAGGACTTCCCTCAGCGCAAAGTTGAGGATGTGTGTGCCTGTATGGTTGTTCCGTATGGGCCATCGTCTCAATTCGTCATACTCTGAGATTGCCTTGTCCCCCACCGAGAAGTGACCGTACTTCATGTAGCCTGTGTGTAACACGTAGCCGGCATAAAGCTGGACATTCTCCACCTCCAGTTCGGCCTGTCCATCAATGACGATCCGGCCGGTGTCGTACTCCTGACCACCCTGTTCTGCGTAGAAGCAGGTTCGGTCAAGAATAATACCGACCTGATCGTCTTCGGGGATATTTTTGGTGTCGGAATGGAACTGCTTCGCGTGATATATCGCCTGGATTGTGCTGGTGATATTGTCCCTGCCGTATTTGGCGCTGTCGTCTGTTTTTGTCACACCGGGCATTTTCTCTAGCTGGCCCAGATCATGCACATCGAGCTTGAGGACATCACTGGCCGCTTTCTTCTGTCCCTTGCTGGCCTCCTTGGCGGCCAATCTCGCGGCCTCGAATTCATTGTCGTCAATAGAGAGATTTCGTTCTTCAGCCATGAGCCGAGTCAGATCAACAGGGAATCCGAAAGTGTCGTATAATC